CTGTTCCTGAAACATTATTTCTTGTTCCATTCTAATACGTTCTTTCTCTTGCTTCCTGGCTGCTTCTTGCTGTTCCTGAAACATTATTTCTTGTTCCATTCTAATACGTTCTTTCTCTTGCTTCCTGGCTGCTTCTTGCTGTTCCTGAAACATTATTTCTTGTTCCATTCTAATACGTTCTTTCTCTTGCTTCCTGGCTGCTTCTTGCTGTTCCTGGAACATTCTTTCTTGTTCCATTCTAATACCTTCATCCTCTTGCTTTCTGGCTGCTTCTTGTTGGTCCTGAAACAATCTTAATTGCTCTTTCTCCTGCTTTCTAGCAGATTCTTGATGTGGGTGGAACAATCTCTGCTGTTCCAGTCGTGCATATTCCTGCTCTTGTCGTCTTAATGCCTCCGGCTTGATGGGTAACTTCCGACTCTTGAGGAATGCCTTCGCTTCTCTCACCACATCAACATACGCATCATGAACACCAAAGAAATACCCATCACTATCGTCAATATCTCCGTCGTCAGTGAGAAGCACATGACAACCCTCGTGTGCGTTAGCAAACTCGGAAAATACTCCCTTTAATCTCCGAATTCTTGCTTCCGTCTCTTCATAATCTTCCTCTGCCACCAGGCGCTTAATGTTGTTACCTTCCTTGGTGAGTTCTCTCTTCCTTGCCGTTCTTAACTTCTTGCACTCCGCCATGTTGTCAAATTCTTGACGTAGATTCGCCTCATGCAGTCTTAGCTCATAGACTTTTCTTGCTCATGTCTCCCATGCACGCATACCATTACTCATTTAGTCCTGCTTCATGGAGTTTTACTCATGCACTCCTCCTTCATGTAGTTTTACTCATGCACTCTTGCTTTATGTATTTTTACTCATGTCCTCTTGCTTCATGTATTTTTACTCATGTCCTCTTGCTTCATGTATTTTTACTCATGTCCTCTTGCTTCATGTAACTTTTACTCATGTCCTCTTGCTTCATGTAACTTTTACTCATGTACTCCTGATGCATACATTTTTTACTGTTACGTTCCGTGCGTGATAATCAATACTCAACTCGGCATCTTTTTGATATCTCCAAATTTATTACTCAACACGTGCGTAGCTGCACACGTGCAGGTAAAAAATGTATGGTGCATCGTGGAAGAAATGCGCACGCGAGGAGCGCACGCGAACGTATAAATACGGCTCAAGCAGCAAAAGGGCCCGCGCCACGCACAACAGACGCTTTTATACCGCGACAAGGAAACCCGCGAGTCACATGACTAAAACATAATGTAAACGAGCCGAACAGCAGCCTAGCTGAACCGCTTGAATACCGTGCAAAACAAGAACTGAACAGTGCTAGAAATACTACAGTATGACATGCTTAACAGAAATGATGAGAAGAGATAACACATACAATAATGTCAATATTCCTTCGCAATACACCGGCCGCCGCAATCTAAAATGATCGATGATTAATTGATCATCGGTCGTTTCGTAAAACCGATGATCGATCATGAAATTTGGACCGATCTCCAACACTAGTACAAGTCGGTGCTGGTGTCATCACTATTTTACAATTAAATCAAGTTGTCTTACAGATTTAGTATAATATTCTAAAACAAGGGGTCTCACCCAATGACTCGATAGCATGCCCACATAAGGGGAGTCATGCCATTTTTATCTCGCAGGTTAGGATCCTGGCCTTTAGCCAGCAAATAAGCAAGGATGTTGGAATGGCCAGTCATGGCTGCCAAGTGGATGGCACAGCAACCTACACAAAGAATTTTAAATACAGTAAAAAATAACACACCATGTTTATCCATCCATTTCATTAGTGTCTATGAATTATTTTGAGTATTGCAGTTAATTGTTACATGGCATTTCGCTTATGTAAATTATCAACAACATCAATTCAATTATTCTCTATCTACTTCCAGCACAAGGCCAATTAACTATATATCAATATAGCTAACGATAGCAGCTAGCGGCCTGAGCGATGATGCCTGACATGTGTACGATTTATTACAGCACGTCATATGACATTCTAACTTTAACTTTACCATCCCCATCCATGATTGTTGGATTTGCCCCATATTGCATGAGCAAAACCACCATCTCCAACTGGCCTTGCCTTCAAGAGAAAGGGAACAAATAATTTCATGACTTTCATACAGACAGTCGAACATCTATAATCAAAGTTGAAAGATTAGACACAGATGCAATATTCTAGCTTGGAACGACCCAGCAAGTATGAATGTAATATAGAATGTGGACAATTACAGGATAACACTATAAGGTTGGATATGAAGCCAGCATGTACAATGTAGCCCAAAATAAATAACACAAGAATTGAAAAAAAAAAAAACTAAAATCTATGCTAGCACTCTTCTTTAAAATATTAGTTAGTCTACCAACAATTACCAACAAAAGGTACCTACCGTACTGCCCACTGCAATGGTGTACTTGCTAGAACGCCTCCTGTGTTATCAATACTAGCGCCCTTAGACAAATAATACCTAGAAGAATAAGGATGACGATAAGATGTTGCAACTGGATTCTCACTAGCAAAATACAATTGTAGTGAAATAAACTACATTAATTTTTTATATATATCTTTGTTGAGATTGGCAGCTTGAGCTAAATATGCGTGGTAGCTTCGGATAGCTTCATTAGGGCATCCTTGAGCCCCCCCCAAGAATTGATGAGCACATGCAATCCGTGTCCTCTATGCAAAGCCACGCTGGGCTGTTGAGTATGTAAGGGAGGCATGCGATAGTTAGTTGTCATGCAGTCGGAGTCAGTTCCAGAATTAAATGAAAGTGTCAATGACACTGTAGCTCACCACAAAAAAGGACAGAAATGAGTGAGTGAGAAGAAGTCAGTTATAATTGAGCAACCATCGACGTACATTATAGAAACGAAGAGTATATATGGGAGAACTCCCATTATATACTCTTGATAATTATATGTGTAATTTTTCATGTGAAAATAATAAATAATATTATATATAAATTATAAATAATTTATAAACCAAAATGAATCACAATTTGTGACGGTAGATGGCGCTACACCCGCTTTGATGTTTCTTAGCATAAATCGTTATATCATAATAATAATAATAATATAATAATAATAGTATAAATCATGTTCATAGCAGGAATTTTGCATTAAAGATATTGTCAATGAAATCTTGTAAAACGAACATCAGACGAGTGTGACACCACAGACTGTTTGTTATCTGCGTGTCTATATAATATGCTATATAATTGCCAAACCCTACCTAATTTGCATAATTTTTTTAAAAATATCAAAACCCCTAGCCCTTATTCATTCACATACCAAAAATGAGCAAAATCCGTTGAACCTGAACTGACTAATGGCAAATTCCCATTTTGCCAAAAAAATTGCCGTGGCTCGAAAGTACGTCGACTGGCGTGCCTCCAAATAGGACGTTTAATATGGGAGCATAGCAGTAACAACTATAACCAATTTCAAACATGTGGGTCAAACGGTTCCTGAGTTATAATTGACCGTAGCCAAATGTTGACGGACGGACGGACATACGACGACCCATGGCAATAGCTCAGCTTGACGATGTCAAGGTGAGCTAAAAATATACTGTGCACATGGAAACGGTGCAAATCCACTTTAGGCACCTTATATCAAGAAGTGATGCACAGATTTCTGTGTATCACCCACTGATGCACAGACCTTCCATATATCAAGGATTGATGCACAAATGTTTAACTGCCCACATAGCCATGCTAAAAAGCGCCACCTATCGGACAAAAATACTACTATTATACCACTAAAAATTATGTTGTGTATTTTTATTTTTATTATATGATTTATTATTAATTACCAATTACACTATTGTTTATTAAGTACACTATTAATTACTAATTACATTGTTAATTACTAATTACACTATTAATTACTAATTACTAATTACACTATTAATTACGAGAGGAAGAGGAAGCCCATGATGGTTAGAGGGAGAGAGGAAGCCATGATGGTTAGATGGAGAGAGGAAGCCGTAATGATTAGAGGGAGAGAGGAAGCCATGATGGTTAGAGGGAGAGGAAGCCATGATGGTTAGAGGGAGAGAGGAAGCCGTGATGGTTAGAGGGAGAGAGGAAGCTGTGATCGTTAGAGGGAGAGAGGAAGCCGTGATAGTTATAGAGAGAGAGGAAGCCGTGATGGTTAGAGGAGAGAAGAAGCCATGATGGTTAGAGGTAGAGAGGAAGCCGTGTTGGTTAGAGGGAGAGAGGAAGCCATGATTGTTAGAGGGAGAGAGGAAGCCGTGATGGTTAGAGGGAGAGAAGAAGCCATGATGCGTTAGAGGTAGGAGAGGAGCCGGATGATGGTTAGGAGGGAGAGAGGAAGCCATGATTGTTTAAGAGGGAGAGAGGAAGCCGTGCATTGGTTAGAGGGAAGAGAGGAAGCCATGATTGTTAGAGGGAGAGAGGAAGCCGTAACGGTTAGAGGGACAGAGGAAGCCATGATGGTTAGATGAAGAGAGGAAGCCGTGATGGTTAGAGAAAGAGGAAGCCGTGTTGGTTAGAGGGAGAGAGGAAGCCGTGATGGTTAGAGGGAGAGAGGAAGCCGTGATGGTTAGAGGGAGAGAGAGGAAGCCATGATTGTTAGAGGGAGAGAGGAAGCCGTAACGGTTAGAGGGACAGAGGAAGCCATGATGGTTAGATGAAGAGAGGAAGCCGTGATGGTTAGAGAAAGAGGAAGCCGTGTTGGTTAGACGGAGAGAGAGAAAGCCATGAGGGTTAGAGAGAGAGAGGAAGCCATGAGGGCTAGAGGGAGAGAGAGAAAGCCATGAGGGTTAGAGAGAGTGAGGAAGCCATGAGGGTTAGAGGGAGAAAGGAAGCCGTGATGGTTAGAGGGAGATAGGAAGCCGTGATGATTAGAGGGAGAGAGAAGAAGCATGATGGTTAGAGGGAGAGAGGAAGCCATGAGGATTAGAGAGAGAGAGAAGAAGCCGCGTGATGGGTTAGATGAAGAGAGGAAGCCGTGATGGTTAGAGGGAGAGAGGAAGCCGTGATGGTTAGAGGGAGAGAGGAAGGGGGAGCCGTGATGGTTAGAGGGAGAGAGGAAGCCGTGATGGTTAGAGGGAGAGAGGAAGGGGGAGCCGTGATGGCTGGAGGGAGAGAGGAAGGGAGCCTGTGATATACAACTATTTGCTGTGCATCACCTCGTGATACTTTTCAGGCATAAGGTGCGTAAACTGAACTTGTGTTTTTAAGAGGCCAATCTGTGCATCATCTCGTGATGTACACTATTCTGTGCATCATCTCGTGATGTACACTAGTCTGTGCATCACCTCGTGATACTTTTCAGGCATAAGGTACGTAAACTGAACTTGTGTTTTTAAAAGGCCAATCTGTGCAGCATCTCGTGATGTACACTATTCTGTGCATCACCTCGTGATACCTTGTCAGGAGAGAGGAAGCCGTGATGGGTTAGAGGGAGAGAGGAAGCCGTGATAGTTAGAGGGAGGAGAGGAAGCCATGAGGGTTAGAGAGAGAGAGAGAGGAAGCCATGAGGGTTAGAGGGAGAGAGGAAGCCGTGATGGTTAGAGGGAGAGAGGAAGCCATGAGGGTTAGAGGGAGAGAGGAAGCCGTGATGGTTAGATGGAGAGAGGAAGGGGGAGCCGTGATGGCTTCCTCTCTCTCTCTAACATCACGGCTTCTCCCTTCCTCTCTCAGGCATGTCGCGGCTTCCCCCTTCCTCTCTCAGGCATGTCGCGGCTTCCCCCTTCCTCTCTCCTCTAACTTCATTAAGCGCTTCCCCTCTCTCCCTCTAACCATGCATGGCTTCCTCTGCTCCCTCTAACTGTTACGGCTTCCTCTCTCCCTCTAACAATCATGCTTTTCTCTTCTCCCTTCTAACCATCACGGCTTCCTCTCTCCCTCTAACCCTCATGGCTTCCTCTCTCTCTCTCTAACCCTCATGGCTTTCTCCTCTCTTCTCCCTCTCCTAACGCACACGGGTTCCTCTCTCCTCTAACCCATCATGGCTTCTCTCTCGCCTCTAACACCTCATGGCTTCCTCGCTCTCCTGCTAACCATCACGGCTTCCTCTCTCCCTCTAACCATGCAGGCGCTTTCCTCTTCTCCTGCTAACCCTCATGGCTCCTCCTCTTCTCTTAACCCCTCATGGGCTTCCTCTCTCTCCCTCTACCATTCACGGCTTTCTCTACTCCGCTCTAAACCATCACGGCTCTCTCTCCTGACAAGGTTATCACGAGAGTGATGCACAGATAGTTAGTGTACATCACGAGATGATGCGCGGAGATTGCCTCGTTACCAAAACACGACAAAGCTTCAGTTTACGCCACGCTATCACCTGACAAGTATCACGAGGTGAATGCACAGAATAGGTGTACATCACGAGATGATCGCCACAAATAGTGCTACATCACGAGATGCATGCACAGATTGGCCTTTTTAAAACACAAGTTCAGGTTTACGCACCGTATACCTTGACAAGGTATCAGGAGCGTGATGCACAGAATAGTGCTACCATCAACGAGTGATGCCACAGAATAGGTACATCACGAGATGATGCACAGATTGCGCCTTTTATAAAACAAGTTCAGTTTTACGCACACTTATTACCTGACAAGTATCACGAGGTGATGCAGAGAATAGTGTTGATATCACGGCTCCCCTTGCCTCTCTCGCCTTCCAGCCATTCACGGCTCCCCCCTTCCCTCTCCCTCCTAAACCCTCTATGGCTTCCCCTCCCTCTAACCATCACGGCTTTCCTTCTCTCCCTCTAACCATCATGGCTTCGCTCTCTCTCTAACTCCATGGCTTCCTCTCTCGCTCTAACGCATCATGGCTTCCTCTCTCTTCTCTAACATCACGGCCTTCTCCCTTCCTTCCTCTCTCAGGCACTGTCGCGCGCTTTCCCCCTTCCTCTCGCGAGGCATGTCGCGGCTTCCCCTTCCTCTCTCGGCCTCTAAGCATTACAGCTTCCTCTCCCTCTAAGCCATCATGGCTTCCTCTCTCCCTCTAAGCTGTTTACGGCTTCCTCTCTCCTCTAACAATCATGGCTTTCTCCTCTCCGCTCTAACCACACGGCTTTCCTCTCTCCTCTAACCCTCAATGGCTTGCCTCTTCTCTCTTCTAACGCCTAATGGCATTTCTCTCTCTCCCTTTAACCACCCGGGTTCCTCTCTCGCTCTAACAGTCATGGCTTTCCTCTACTCCGTCTAACCCTCATAGCCTTCCTCGCTCATACCTCTAACCATCCACGGCTTCCTCTCTCCCTCTAACCAGTCACGGCTTCCACTTCCTGCTTGAACCGTCATGGCTTCCTCTGCTCCTAACCCTCATGGCTTCCTCTCTCCTCCTCTAACCATCACGCTTTCTCTCTCCCTCCTAACCATCACGGGCTTCTTCTCTCCTGACAAGGCTATCACGAGGTGATGCACAGAATAGTGTTACATCACGAGATGATGCCGGCAGATTGGCCTCTTAAAACACAAGTTTCAGTTTTACGCCACGTATACCTGACAAGTATCACGACAGGTGATGCACAGAATAGTGTACATCACGAGATGGTGCACAGAATAGTGTACATCACGAGATGATGCAGCAGATTTGGCGCTTTTAAAACACAAGTCAGTTTACGCACGTATAACCCTGACAAGTATCACGAGAGGTGCAGGTGCACACGAAGTGATGCATCAGCTGTGTCATGCATCGATAGTGCATAGAATGATGGCACAGCATTGGCCTTTTAAAAACACAAGTTAGTTTACGCACCCTTATACCTGACAAGTATCAGGGGCGAGGTAATGCAGAGAATAAGTGTATATCACCGGCTCCCAACTTTGCCTCTCTCCCTCCAGCCATCACGGCTCCCGCCCTCCTCTCTCCCCTCTAACCCTCATGCTTTCCTCTCTCCCTCTAACCATGCACTGCTTCCTCGTCTCCTCTAACCATCATTGGCTTCCTCTCTCCTCTAGACCCTCATGCGCTCTCTCGCTCTAACCATCATGCGCTTCCTCTCTCTCTCTAACATCACGGCCTTCTCCCTTCCTTTCCTCTTCTCAGGCATTGTCGCCGGCTTCCCCCTTCCCTCTCTCAGCATGCGCGGTTCCCCCTTCCTCTCTCCTCTAACTCAGTACCACTTTCCGTCTCTCTTCTCTAACCGCTCGTAGAGCTTCCTCTCTCGCCCTCTATCCCTATGGCTTCTCTCTCTCTCTAACCATCACGGCTTCTTCTCTCTCCCTCTAAGCATCACGCCTTCCTCTCTCTCTCTCAACGCCTCATCGGCTCCTCTCTCTCTCTAACCATCACAGCCTTCCTCTCTCCCTCTAAAACCATCAGCGGCTTCCTCTCTCCACTCTAACCACACGGCTTCCTCTCTCCGCTCTAACCATCATGGCTTCCTCTCTTCTCTCTAACTCATAACGGCTTCCATTTTTCGCTCTAACCATCACGGCTCCTCTTCTCCTCTAACCCTCATGGCTTCCGCTCTCTCCCTCTAACCATACACGGCTTCCTCTCTCCCTCTAACATCACACCTGACAAGTATCAGCGAGGTGATGCAACAGAATAGTGACTCACGAGTGATGCACAGAATAGTGTACATCACGAGATGATGCACAGATTGCTTTTAAAACACAAGTTCAGTTTACGCACCTTATACCTGACAAGTATCACGCAGGTGATGCGCAGAGAATAGTGTATATCACGGCTCCCTTTGCTCTGCTCCTCAGCCCATCGCGCTCGCCCCCTTCCTCTCTCCCTAAACCCTATATGGCTTCGCTCTCTCCCTCTACCATCACGGCTTCCTCTCTCCCTCTAACCATCATGGCTTCCTCTCTCCCTCTAACCCTCATGGCTTCCTCTCTCGCTCTAACCATCATGGCTTCCTCTCTCTCTCTAACATCACGGCTTCTCCCTTCCTTCCTCTCTCAGGCATGTCGCGGCTTCCCCCTTCCTCTCTCCCTCTAACCATTACAGCTTCCTCTCTTCCCTCTACACATCAACGCTTCCTCTCTCCCTCAAGCATCACAGCTTCCTCTCTCTCTTAACCCTCATGCGCTTCCTCTCTCCCTCTAACCATCACGGCTTCCTTGTCTCCCTCTAGACGCATCACGGCCTCCTCTCTCTCGTATAACCATCACGGGCTTCCTCTCTCCCTCTAGCCATCACGGCTTCTCCTTCCTGTCTCAGGCATGCTCGCGGCTTTCCCCTGTCCTCTCCAGGATGTCGCGGCTTCCCGCTTCCTCTCTCCTCGTAACCATTACAGCTTCGCTCTCTCTCTCTAACACGCTCGTGGCTTCCTCTCTCCTCTCAACCCTCATGCTTCCTCTCTCTCTCTAAGCCATCACGGCTTCTTCTCTCCCTCCTAAGCCATCACAAGCTTCCTGCTCTCTCTCTAACGCTCATGGCTTCCTCTCTCCCTCTAACATCACGGCTTCTCCCTTCTTTCCTCTCTCAGGCCTGTCGCGGCTTCCCCCTTCCTCTCTCCCTCTAACCATCACGGCTTCCTCTCTCCCTCTAACCATCATGGCTTCCTCTCTCCCTCTAACCCTCATGGCTTCCTCTCTCGCTCTAACCATCATGGCTTCCTCTCTCTCTCTAACATCACGGCTTCTCCCTTCCTTCCTCTCTCAGGCATGTCGCGGCTTCCCCCTTCCTCTCTCAGGCATGTCGCGGCTTCCCCCTTCCTCTCTCCCTCTAACCATTACAGCTTCCTCTCTCCCT